GAGTGCGTGAAAAATGTGAACAAAACTCAAAATCCTAAAAAAGACCAGCCTTACTGGTCTGATAGAGACTGGTGAAACCCCCAAGACTATGGCCCCTTGTCAATCTTCAGGCCAGGGATTGAATCACTCCTGTAGCTTCCAGCCAAACAAAAGACACCAAATATGTCTGTTGTTCACCAACAAATATGGTGAATGTTTACACCGGGTAGGTGCACTCCTTAGTATAATCAACCACAGGAGATCAGAAGAGCAGCATCTGCACAGGGAGACGGCTCAGAGGGTAGGAGTGCATGGGAAAGAAGGACACAGGGAAAAGGTAGCCACAGGAAGAAGGCGGGAAGAGAGCTGTTACACTGTGGGGATTGCAATCAATGTCATGAAACAACGTATGTATGAACTGTCGAGTGGAAAATGAATCTGCTCCGTAAACTTTCACCCAAATCACAATTAAAAAGATAAAAAAGTTCAAGCCTGTTGAAAATGACCAAACTGCATGGCAGGGAAGCTACGTGGAGCAGTGACTAAGAGTTGCACTCCAGAGCCAGGCAGACTCAGGTTCAAGCCTCAATCTTCCCCACACTAACTGCCTGAGCTTGGGCAAGTCACTTAACTTCTCTGAGCCCTGGTCTCTTCTGTACTGCAGCCTCCTCCTGGAGTTGGGAGGGTTCGGTTAGATAATCCAGGTACAGGGCTTAGCACAGAAACTGGCTGATCCACTGGAAATACTCAGTCACTGATCACTAATTGCTTCCATCATCTGCACACAGATGCAGAGGGGCCTCTCGTCTCCTGATGAAACAGCCCAAGATGTGCATCTTCACAGTCCTCACTGTCATAAAGGATGTGGCCAGAGTGCCACAGCCCCTCCTATGTACACATCGCACGCCTCTACCCAAAGCGGCAGCACTTGACCGGCCACCAGATTAGCTCTCTGTTCCCTCTCCACCCATAAGCCTCTGTCCACGTGAGAATGAGCTCCCAGAGGAAAAGGAGAGGACACAGAGGTCTCCTCATCCCCACAGGCATCAGGCGAGCACAGCAGTTACCGGGGGTGAAAGATTCCGTGCCTCGGTTTGAATCGTGGCTTGTCATTCCCTAGCTGTGACTTTGAGGCAACGTGACTTCTCTGTGCCTCAGTGCTATCATGTGAAGAATGGGAATGACAAGTACGCGACCTCAGCTTGTTAGACAGGTTACTTAGAACAGTGCCTGCCAGAGAAAGCAGCATTATAAAGGTTTTTTAAAATAAAAGAGACGGTGCCAGGTATCTCAACTCAGTATGTCCCAAATTTGACTCATCTCACCATCCCTACACTCAACCTCATTCTCCCTCCTGTAGTACAATCTGGTAGCACTACTACACACCCAAGTTTAAAAAAAAAAAAAAAAAAATCACAATCCTTGTTAATTCTTCCTACATCTTCTTCTCCCTGGGCTTGCCTAATCTCCTGTCCCCTCCTTGTCCATCTAATCACCAAGCCCTGTCAATTCTATCTGATAGGTTATGTGTCGACTTGGCTGGGCCATGATTCTCACTGGTTTGGCAGTTATGTAATGATGTGATTTGGCAGTTATATAAATGATGTAGTCATCTTCCATTTTTGCATAACACTGATTCTCACATATGACCTGGTCTTTGAAACCTAACCATGTCTGTCGATAAGTGAAGAGTGAGTGTAGATTACTATGGCCTCCTTACAATCTTTCCTGATACCAGCCCCAGCCCTCTCTAACCCATTCTCCTTCACGCTCTTTCCAGAACTACCACTCAGAAACATCCATCTTCTCCTCCCTTTAAACCTCCCCATCACTCCATCCAGTAGTGTCCACTACCGTGGAGTTGGACCTGACTCATAGCGACCCCTCCTTGGGTTTCCAAGACTGTATCACTACGGAAGTAGCTTGCCCAACCTTTCTTCCAAGGAGTGGCTGGTGAGTTTGAACCGCCAGCCTTCTGGTTAGCAGTCAAATGCCTTAGGCATCATGCTACCATGCAAGGCCCTGGAAAATCCGGGGCTCCAGCCTTCCCCTTCAGCCTCCTCTCCTACCACTAACCTAACATACTTTCTGTTTCCTATCCTCTTGGCATGGCAAGCCCTGCCCATCCTCCCGGACCCAGCACCCCATCACCACCACTCCCAAAGCCTTTCTTCTCCAGCCCTCTCCCTCTAGGTAGAGCCTGTAGCAATCTCTTCATGGCTGCCACCAGCAGACTCAACAAGCAAGGATCACGTCCTCCACCTGTGGCCCTAGTCTCTGGCCACAATGCCTGACACCCAGTAGGTACTGAGTAAGCAAATAACTTGGCATATGACAGGTACACTGAAAATACTCACTGGACTTTAAAGTCTTTTTAAAGACTTTAAAGGCAATGTACCACCTTTCTCAGTTAAAACTGCCCAGGTTCCAACCAATGTCACTGAACCATTTGTGTAGAAATCATTGAATGGGAACCTAAACTGCTGTGTACACCTTCACTGAAAACAGTCTTTTTTTTTTTTTTAAGTGTTTAGTCACCTCTGTTTTACATAGGAAAGTTTGTAAAACAACATACACACAAAAATATACATAACAAAACAAAACAATTGCCTAGGTTGCAAATATAAAATCTCAGAGCGTGTGTAGTTGGACTAGGGCCACCAGAAAGAGGGGCTAACTGTGGGGCAGGAGATTCCTATCCAGGAGGGGAAGGCCCTAGTGTGTCAGTATTTCAAAATGCCCATAGCTGCAGAGTCTGACGAACTCCAGCCCTGATCCCCTTCTAAGGCCGGACGTGAGTTCACAGACAGTTTCCCTGTAGCCTGAAGCTTCAGTGTCGTCCCCACAACTCTGCTTCCCTGCTACCAAAAATTGAGACTGGGCAAGAGGCTGTGTTGTTATGTGCCATCACAGAGACCTCCTCTTTGGGTTTCCGAGGCAGTATCACTATGGAAGCAGACTGCCCAACCTTCCTTCCAAGGAGTGGCTGGTGGGTTTGAACCACCAGCCTTCTGGTTAGCAGTCAAGTGCCTTAGGCACTATGCTACCAGAGCTCTGATTCAATACTTTCTCCAGTTCCAAGAGCTCAAGTTCTCCTCCTGATGGTGAGCTTTAGGACTGCACACCTCCCTAGAATTCTGCTTTTTTTTTTTTTTTTCGTCCTTTGATTAATCTTCTCACTGAACCCTTAAGTGTCTGTTGTATCAAAAGGGTCCTCAGCCCACCCAAACCACCACAGACTGGATACTAGCCTAGCTGAACCCCACACCCAATCCCCTAAGGCAAGGCACTAGCTCACTGTACCCATTAGCACTGTGACCTCTAACTCCTCAGCCAGGTAGAGAACCAATGTGAGGAACTCTGGTAAGTCGCAGCTCGTAGCTGAACCTGGCTACTTCCATTAAACTGCACAGGTATTTTAACCCAGAATCAAAACTGCAGGTTCAACCCTGTATCTTATCATGGCCCTGCCTTTACCTGCCATACTCCTGGCCCAGACAGACAGACAGTGGGCAATGCCAGTCAGCAAGCAAGGTGGCAGCTAACTATGGCCCCAGACTAAGGTGTCTGCCACCACCCATACTTACCCCATCCATGGTACATGCTACATTCTTTCTCCTGGATCTCCAGGTGCCCAACACCCTGCTGCAGCCTCACCCTTGCTGGGAGGCAGACAAGAGCTCCCTACTGCACCCCAACACCACACCACACTAAAAGCCAAACAATAGGACTAAAGCCCACTGTGACCAGTTAGTCCAGCCTAATGCGGCCAGGGGTATCTGCACTTTAGGAGGCCACTGTTAACTGGGAGTGTCTGGGTTGTGCAAATGGTTAACGCACTTGGCTGCTTACCGAAAAGTTGCTGCTTCAAGTCCACCTAAAGATGCCCCGGAAGAAAAGCCTCGCTATTACTTGTAAAGGAGCTCTGGTAGCATAGTGGCTCTGGCACTTGACTGCTAACGAGAAGGCTGGCAGTTCAAACCCACCAGCCACTCCTCAGAAGGAAGATGGGGCAATCTACTTAGTGATACTGCCTAGGAAACCCAAGGAGGGGTCGCTATGAGTCGGGGCCGACGCGACGGCACACAACAACAACAACAACATTACTTGTAAAAAAAATCAGCCATTGGAAACCCTACCGACCACAGTTCTACTCTGGCACACATGGGGTCACCAAGAGTCAAAATCAACAGCAACCAGTTACAGCTAACTGGGGTAGCCCCAACCTATGGAGAAGCCAAACCCCTGCCCCAGCCACTTACAGAAGTAATTTCCCCTCTGGTTTGTGGCAGGAGGGAAGACAGAGCTCTACCTTGCCTTTCGCGCATTTATTTGCTTTCTGCAATACTAGGCAAGGGGAGGTGATGGTTAATAATAGATTCCTAATACCCATAACTGTCTCTAGCTACCAAAAATTGAGGCTGGGCAAGAGGCTAGGACGATTCAATACTTTCTCAAGTTCCAAGTGCTCAAGTTCTCTTCCTGCTGGTGAGCTTTGGGGCTGCACACCTCCCAAAGGGTCTCTAGGGTCAATGTACTTTTCAAGAACTTCTCCCTACGAAATGCCCTTCTTTCCTATTATGTCTAGTAAAAAGCGCCGTAAGGTAGGATCTAGTGTAATCTGGCAGTCAGGCAAGTTGACAATCTGGTTTGGTTTTAACTGGTATTTGTAACTGAGAATATTTCTGGTCCCTCCCTCAGCGTATATGGATGTTGGGAGTTGCAAAAGGAAAGAGGAACTTTAGACGGGGGCGGGGAGCGAGGACGGTGTAGTTGCCAGGCACAATTCGCATTCCTGGAAGCACCAGGCTCTGCTCATTCTCCACTAAGATAAGAGATCGGAGATCGGAGGGGGAGACCCGCAGAGCAGAAAGAGCCGGGGACCCCGGGACCACCTGGCCCGTTCATAGGGAAGAGCGTAGAGGAGGTAGTGGGGCCTGGCCTGTGCTCCCAGCGGGCCAGAGTTTCCCATTCTTGAGGAGGGTCTCCCGTGCGTTCCGGGGCCGCGGAGGCCCGCTCACCTCTCGCGCCGAGCGAAGCTGCTGGCGCAGCGCGTCCTTACAGCCATAAGGGCCGCCGGCTCCGACGCCGCGTGGCTGGAAGTGCGCCTCGACACGCGTGGGGCCACGGTAGGCGCCCTCGTAGAAGGCGGGCCAGCCCAGCTCGAGCAGCGGCGGCTCCAGATCCGACTGCTCAGGGAAGTAGGTGCCAGACGAACAGTCGTGGGACGAGCCGAAGGAGTCCTCGGCCCCCGTGGTCGCGCCCTCTTCGCCGGGCCGCTCGGCCGCGCGAAGGATGGCGCACACCTCATCCGGATTCAGGAAGCGACTCAGGCGCTCGCGTCTTAGGAAAGCCGCGAAGGCGTCGGGGCCGCCGGTCACCAGCTCCTCCAGCGCCAAGCGCTGCGCCTCGCTATACAGCTCGGCGGGGTTGGGCGGCCCGCATGGCGATAGGCAGGCGGTGGGTAACTCGTCCAGGCCCCCGCACTGCAGCGCCATTACCACAGTCTGAAACGACCACACTCTAGCGGGTGCTAGCGTGCTAGCCCGCCTATATAGGCACCTTTGAATCAAACTATCCCGCGCCATTGGCTGAGCCGCCCCGCCCCACTCTCCCATTGGCTGTGACCCTAGCCCGCCCCGCCCCACACATAGGGGCGTAGTCGGGCGGAGCATGCGTTGCTACGGCCCCGCCCCTTGATGTGCTGCTGGCTGCTCCACTAGCCGGCTTTTCCCCTGCTCCTGGTTCTGTTGCAGGTAGCTGCCGAGCTCATGCTCTGGTTGCAGGTGCTGCTTCGTGGGATACAAACTTGGCTACTCTGTGTCCAAGGAGCCTTGATGGCGCAGTGGTTAAACTATTGGCTGCTAACACAAATGTCTGAGGTTGGAACCTACCCGCCGCTCGCCGCTCAGAGGGAGAAAGATGTGGCAGTGAGCTTCCGTAAAGATTCAGCCTCGGAAACCTTAGGGTCTCTAGGAGTCAGGGATCTATTCCACCGCAAGGTTTAGTTTGGTTTGGGTTTACCCTGTGTCCGCTCCCTGAAGGGAGCCTAGCTCTGCGTTACCGGCTAGAGACAGGAGAGCTGCCGAGTGGCCCAAGGTGGCTCAGGGCGCGGAACCCGAACTGAGGCCTGAGAGTGCGGTTCCCGGCCATTCTAGCGCGCCCTCTGCCGGCTCGTCCCACAGCTCGTTCCTACTTGGCCGGGACCAGTCAGGGTTAGGCGGAGAGGAGGAGAGGATGGCCTCTGCCTCCCGCCCCTGGACACGCTGACCGCGCTGCTCCTAGGATCTCAGAGGTTGGTGTGACCAACCATGTCACCTTTGTCCCCTGGATTTAATTAGTTATTCATTCAAAAAATACCAGTCCATCACCAGCAAGTCCAAGTAGCTTGCTTTTCTCTAACTTCATCGTTTTACCTGGCAAATCTCCAACCCTAGTTGGTTAAACTCAGTTCTCCATTTACATCCCATCTGTACCCTGACAGCCATACGTGGCTGGAGAAAACTGCACCGCTGCTGACTGGTTTGCTCTAAATTCATGAGGCCTTAAGGCCTCTCATTCACTCCACCTTTTCCTCTCCTCACTCTCAGATGAGAACCTGTTTCCTGTCTCACTGAGAAAATAGAAGGAATCAGAAGACAACGTCCGCATGCTCCCATCACATCTATCTCACTGCATCTCAGCCCACATAACTAGCTTTCTCTCCAGTTGCTAAGATGAACTGCCGGTTGGCCTAAGGCCAACCCTTCCAGCTGGGCACTAGCTCCCAGCCCATGGACTACTGACCCATCATCTCTCTCCAGCTCTCCTCTCTCCTAGATCACCATTTTCCCATCTTTATTGGTTCATTCCTATCAGCATACAAACATGCTGAAGTATTTTCCATCTTAAAATAATCATCTCGACTCTACATCCCTCCAGAGCTACCTCCTCACTTCTCTGCATTAAAGTCTTGAAAGAGTTGCCGATACTTGCTGTCTCCAATTCTCCTCCTCCGTGCTCACCTGAATGGCCAGTCAGTCCCTATTTAGTGTTAGTTGCCATCCCTCTCTGTATCAAAACTTCTTGTCGAGGTCAACAATGAGCTTCACGTTGCTAAATCCAACAGTCCATTTTCAGACCTCATCTTCATGTAAATGAGAAAGTATATGTAAAACTGGAAAGTGCTTCACAACTGTGAGAGATGACCATTACTATTTAGGAGCCAATAAACTTTTTAAATGAATACATGCCAGCAACTACTGATAGATTTCTCTCTTTTCCCATCCTCTCCTCATCCCCGACCTGGTGGTGAATTTTTTTTAAGCCCACTTGAGAGGGCCTTCTGTGTGTCCCTGCTCTGCAACCGAGCATCTAGAAGAATGGAAAAGAGCACCTTTTCCATCCTCTTTTGAGACACCAATAAACTTATGATTATGACAAGGACAAGGCCTGTGTTCTGGGAGTGCACGACCACAGAGCTTGTCAATGCCACTATTGTCTGAGATAAAAAGTGAACCTAACCAGGCTCTTACCTGCTAAATTGTTTTAATAAGGTGAAGAACCATATACTATTTTACCTCCCCAGTGTAAGTTATATGAAGAGGGCTGGGGTGAGACAGAGAAGGGGACAGGACAAGTCAGTACACCCCAAGATGAGAACAGAGGAGAGGGGCACCCATTATACACGTCACTAGAGACATGTTTGAAATGTGGGGTGTGTGTGTGTGTATAAAGCATTTGACTGCTAGCCAGAAGGCTGGCAGTTCAAACCCACCAGCCGCTCCTTAGAAGGAAGATTGGGCAATCTATTTCCATAGAGATACCGCCTCAGAAACCCTAGGAGGGGTCACTAGGAGTCGGATTCGACTCAACGGCAGTGAGTTTGGTTTTGGGTATATACATATACATAAAACCCAACCAGTTTGCATCCAACTGACTCCAACTCATGGCCACCCCACGTGGGTCAGGGAAGAGCTGTGCTCCGTGGGGTTTTCAGTGGCTTCTCAGTAGATCACCAAGCTTTTCCTCTGAGGGGCCTCCAGTTGGACTCAAATTGCCAGCCTTTCACTTCGCAGCTGAGCACATGCTTTAACTGCTTTTACCACCCAGGGTGTGTGTGTCTCTCTCTGAATACATTGATGTTCTTGTTGGGTGCCACACAGAGTTTTTGACTCATAGCAACCCCATGTGACAGACCAGAACTTCCCCACAGGGTTTTCTAGGCTGTAATCTTTATGGGAGTAGACCTACAAGTTTTTTCCCTCATAGCTTATCACCAGTATGTCAGAAAGGCTCCTTATATATGTGTGTGGGTGTGGGTGTGGGTGTGTGGGGGGGGTGTGCGCGCGTGCGTGAGCTCTGGTAGCGTAGTGCCTAAGGCATTTGACTTCTAACCAGAAAGCTGGCAGTTCAAACCCACCAGCCACTCCTCAGAAGGAAGACAGGGCAATCTACTTCTGTAGAGATACTGCCTTGGAAACCCAAGGAGGGGTTACTATGAGTCGAATTGACTCAACGGCAGTAAGTTGTTGTTGCTGTTGTTTTTAATATATATGTATATATGTATGTATGTGTGTATATATATAAATATATATGTATGTATGACTGCTAACTAGAAGGCTGGCGGTTCAAACCCACCAGCCACTCCTTGGAAGGAAAATTGGGCAATCTACTTCCGCAGTGATACTGTCTCAGAAACCCAAGGAGGGGTTGCCATGAGTTGGATCTGACTCCACGGCAGTGAGTGAGCATGTATGTTGTCTTGGTTATCTAGTGCTGCTATAAGAGAAATACCACAAGTGGATGGCTTTAACAAACAGAAATTTATTTTCTCATAGTTTAGGAGCCTAGAAGTTCAAATTCAAGGCACCGACTCCAGGGGAAGGCTTCCTCTCTCTGCTGCTCTGGAGGAAGGTCCATGCTCTGCAGCTTGTTTCCTGGTTCCTTGGAGATCTCCACGTGGCTTGGCATCAGTCTTCCCACTTCTCTGCTTCTGACCTTCCTTGTTTAATCTCCTTTATATCTCAAAGGAGGGAGCTCTGGTAGCATAGTGGCTAAGACACTTGCCTGCTAACCAGACAGCTGGCGGTTCAAACCCACCAGCCACTCCTCGGAAGGAAGGTTGGGCAATCCTACTTCCATAGTGATACTGCCTCGGAAACCCAAGGAGGGGTCACTATGAGTCGGGTTTGACTGGACGGCACATAACAACAACATATCTCAAAGGAGACTGACTCGAGACACACCCTACATTGATCCTGCCTCTTTCACATAACAAAGACAACCCATTCCACAGGCACAGAGGTTAGGATTCACATCACATACTTCTGGAGGACACATTCAATCCATACCATATGCATGTTGTTGTTGTTATGTGCCGTCGAGTCGGCCCCGACTCATAGCGACCCCTCCTTGGGTTTCCGAGGCAGTATCACTACGGAAGTAGGATTGCCCAACCTTCCTTCCGAGGAGTGGCTGATGGGTTTGAACCGCCAGCCGTCTGGTTTGCAGGCAAGTGTCTTAGCCATTATGCTACCAGAGCATACTACATATAATTTCAAAACCAACATTTGACACAGGGAAGGTTATTCCAACCACCTACCTTTTCTTCAATTCATCAGGTTTCATCCTATCCCAGTCTAGCAAGACATCTGTTCCATGTCTGAGCCCCAGAGCTCCTCTGCTTCAGGGCCTCCTGGAAGATTCCTCAGTGGTGGGAACAGGAACTTGGAGCCCTTACCCACCCTCTAAACCAGGCACCACCTCTTTGTGACTTCAGGTCAGCACAGTTCGAGTGAGCTCACAGCAGTGACACAGCCACACTAGCAGGTGTTATTAAAAGGAATTTAATAATCTTAATTAAAAATTCTTAACAGCAATTTCCATCACAGGCCTTGGTAGCTGGAAGCAACTCCAGGACAAGCCCCTTTGGGATGTGGTTGAGTCATGGTTTTAGTCATGAGGCCCACCACTGCCACATGGCGAGGAGCTACCTGGAAGTTACATCAATACAATATCAAAGATCCGCGAGGACTTTTTTTTTAAAAAAAAGTTTTAAATATATTAGACTCTCTTGATTGCCATTTTTACACAAAGCTGCTGATACAGTATACAGAGTTTTAATTTTTTTTTTCACATAAAATACATTTTTGTTAAGTGTTCGCTGTACATCAGTGGCTTCTGGTCTGGTGAATTATTGCGGAGGGCTGGGGGTCTGCAGACTTTTCCTGGGTGTGCAGAGCCAGGCCCCGCGCCATGGCACCTGCGATGCCCGTGAGAAGCAGGCCCTCTGGCCAACAGGAGGCTGTTGTCCAAGAGGCTACAGCTTCTGTCTGGGGTGGAGAGGGTCATTTCTGTGGCGTTATCCACTGACCATGTGCCCCTCTGCTCTTATGGTGCCCTGGGGGAGGGGAGGCTGTCCCTAGGCTACAAGTAGCAAGAGTTAAATACAGTCCATCTGGGCACCTCATGAGGAACACCTTTCTGGAAAATATCCCAGTATCTGCTCTGGAGCACAGGCAGGTAGGAGAGCGAGCTTGAGATCAAAAGGTGTCTGACACCAAAATGATCTTGTTATTACAAAGCCAGCAAACTGTGGTGGGCAGAACAGCGACACGTCCTTCGTAACTGTTCTAAATCCCTTGAAATTGTTCCTACAGTGCAGATCATTCTCTCAGTGCTGCATATCTGATGCCTAGTTACACCCAAAGCCTTCAGCACACTGGGCCTAGAGTTTAGTTCCCTGAACTACTGACTGGCCAGAAACTCACAATCCAGTGACAACCACCAATTCTCTATTTTCTGGGGCATAGGATGGGGGCAGGGGCCAGAGCTCGTCTGTCACTCCAGGTGAGCCGTGTGGCACTTGCTTTGGAAGCGGTCATCGGACCTGGGCCTCAGCAGAAGTTGGGCCTCTGCTTGACCTTGCCAGCCTTCACCCAGCCCCTTGATCCACACCTGCCAGGGAGAGAGGCAGACTTAAGAGGAAAGACTTCCATGTTAAAAGGTGATGTTGGTGGAGACAGGGGGCTATGTAATGACTAGTTAAAATGAGCACGAGACAATGGCGTTAAGAACCTGAGATGCACGTGGCAGCCAATTTCAGCCTTCTTATTCATCTAGACATGACCTAAAACTCTCATTAGATGGTTCCCCCAAAGATGCTGGCCTGAACACAGTTATCCCTGAAAGTTCCAGACGGACCTAGAAGGGTGTCTGCCTGGACCCCAAGAACCAGCATCTGCATTTGGTGACAAATGTTATCCAGGGTCATCCTTGACAGCTGTTTCCCAGCTAAAGGGATTCATACTCCAGGAACTGAAGGAGCTGCAAACCAAAGGGTGCTGGAGCAGGAGGCAGTCACTGCCCCACACAAAGTGATGAGGCTGCAGATGCCGCAGCCATGACACTGATGTACAGATGAAACTGTGAAGAAAAGCTCTCACTCTGTCTGGTCATCCTTTAACCCGGGAGCCTAACAAAGCACCTGGCAGGTCACAGCTACTCAAGAAATTCCGTGAGTAAAGAAGTGAATGATCCAGGCCCGAGACTGTTGTCTCCCAGCTTGTCCCTCAATGCACAGGAGACTCCCTGGGAAAGGTCCCAGGCACGTGAAGCCCTAAAAGAGATGGTTCACCTGAATGAAAATGTGAACTGATGCCCAGAGACGTTGGTCTGAAGATGGGCTTTTGCTGGGGCATCTACTGGGATTCCCAGCCTTCTGGGAGGGAGGACAGCCCAGGAGGCAGGAAACAAGGGAGGAGGAGGAACAGGCAGAGGGCTCAGGGAGGGCAAGAGATGCCCTCGGTCTCCGGTACCTGAGCAGACGTGGAGAAGCTTGTTCCCTCAGCACTCCTCACCCTGCAGCTCAAGCTGCCTCAAGAGCAACCCCAGGGTCAATCTGAACTGAACGCTGTTTTAAAGCCAAAGGTGTGTGTCCCGGATCATCATCCTTGCCCTGCTCCAGCCACAGGCTGAGAGGATGGAGAGCTGGCCCCGTGTGAGGCGACACACACTCCTGTCCGCCATCTTCTGAGCCACCCCTCCACCCTAGACTGGGTCTGGCCTGGGATTAGGGTGGAGGTGGGATTCCAACCAGCCCAGGCCCCACGGGTCTGATGCTGACCCTCACTGTGTCCAGTGGCCACCAGGGGCACAGTGTTTGCCCAGAGCCCTCTGTTCTACAGCCCAACTGCCCTGCTGCTAGTACGGTATCAGCTAGGTCCCTTGGGGCCCAGCTCCCTCTGTGGGCTATGGGGGCCATGGAGGCCATAGTGGGGACTGGGCCCAGTAGAGAGCAGATGCCACTACTAGGTGTGGCACAATGAGGGCTCTTCCAGCTCCCAGCCACAGGTGCCCAATAGGGAAAATTTCTCACAGGCTCAGAAAGAAGGTTAAAAGGAACCCAGATTTGTTCCCCAGGCCCCAGCCTCTGAACCTGAACCTGGGGTGGAGGTGGGGGGCCCTTCAGATCTCTAAGGAGGTAGTTCTAGGACAAATTAAAGGCGCACAGAGCAGAGAACAAACCTGCAGCGTGTATGGTACCCCAGGAGGTTTGGGCTGAACCTTGGACTGCGCCCAGCTCGTGGGCAACAAATCCCAAAGGGGCTCAGAGAGACTGCAGTGGAGAAGTGGAGGATGGCCTGCCCCGGTGTCCCCCCACTCCCCAGCATCAGGAAAACTGGGGCCATGAAACTGTGAGAGCCACCTCCAGTCCCAGCACTGGATGCAGCAGCAGATGCCTACCACAGGCACCTTGAATTGGGGGTCTTGGGGCATCACCACCCTGGGCCAGGCAGGAACTCACAAGGGCCCAGTGGCAAACGTGCCTCTCCAAGTACTCTGGGGGACAGTGAAGCTGGACCCGGGGTCCTGAGCACACACTCTGCATACACGAACGATGTGCAAGGGTTGAGGAGTGCGGGCTCCAGCTGCCTGTAATTCTGATGGCTCAGTCTGAGGACGGCTGGCAGGAAGGGCCACCTGAAACAGTCTCAATAGTCACAAGGATCAGCCAGGGAGCTGGGCTCTGTCATGGTTACCAGAGATGTTTTGAGAAATTAACAACATGAACTCACCCCTCTCCCTGGAAAAACCCTACCAACTGAAACTCTTCACTCAGCTTCCATTTTCCAACAGTCCGTGAGAAAATTCAGTTCATTTTCCCCTGGTGTTTTACAGCCTAAAAGAACTGGTTTTATCTAATGCACTTTTGGAAACAATGACTTTGCCTCCCTTTTGAACCTTCCATTCAAGAGCACAATCTGATTTTGGACTATTCCAGGAATGGGGGAATGGGAGAGTGTGGTTTTCCACATCAGCCCCTGAGTGGTCATGCAGCTGGTTCTCTTCTAACCATGTGATACGTGGCTCCCTCTGAACACAGAGAGGACTTCCTGTCCCTACCAGGTGTGGATGGTGGCCCCGATGCTGGTTTGACTCTGAGTAGGACTGCGGATCTCAGCTAAGCAGCTTAGCAGGGTCTCAGGGTCCCTCCCCTGCTATAGCCACGTTGGCAGTGGTGACTGGACTCTGAGTCTTAACCTCAATCCTCTTGGGAATAGCCCCCAAATTCACTCAGCCCCACCTGCGTCCCAGGAGCCCAGGAGTGTCATTCCTGCACAAGTCGATTGAGTGTGTACGTGTGTTGATACGTGACATGCGAGTACTGGACCAGAGAAGTCTTTCCAAGAACAGAACTGTCATCCCAAGCCCACCATCCCAAAATCTGACAGCGGGATGGGTCAGGAGTCCATTTATGGGCCTTGTGCCAGATGGCAGACAACACAGCAGGAAGCAGATCATGGGGAATGGCAATGCTATGGGCAGCTGGGTGAGAGGTGGGGTCAGCGCTGCCCTGGAGAGCAGAGCCCACCTCCCCACAGCTGCTCTCGATGCCTCCCCAGCCAGGGCTGCTGGGCTGGCCTGGATCCCAAGGATATGCCAGGCATATCTCTTCTCCGTCACACGGAGACTAGGAGATGCGGCAACAGCCATGGACTTTCTCCTCCATCTCCTCCATGGGGGCCTTGAACTTCAAGAGCGGGGGATCCCCGCTGGTGACCGTGTAGTACACTGAGGGCCCATTGCTGCTGTACGGGGAAGTTCTGCCTCCGATCAAGGGGGCCTTGCCTTCACTGCTGCCCTCCCCCGTCCTGGTCATGCTGCTGCCCAGGTGGGTGCTGAGGAAGGGGTGGCTGAGCAGCTTGGCTGCAGCCCGCTGCCGCTTCAGCTCCAGAAGCGTCTGGGGGCTCTGCTCCTTGTAGCCACTCCAAGGTGGGGTGGTATCAGCCATGCTGGGGTTGCCATAGGCCACGCTGTAGTCAGGCACCTCATGTACCTTCCAGACATCCCCATTGGACAGTGCATACTGGTAGGCACTGACCGGAGCCCGGAGGCCATTCTCAACAGGCATGTCCAGTTCACCCCGTGGGATCTTGGTAGAAAATTCGGAGAGTAACACGGGCTTCTCCAGCCTGGGGTTCTAAGAGTGAAAAGGACAACATTACCAGCTGGCTAGAGGATCTGAACTCACTACCCACTTGTGCTGAGGGCACTATGTCTGGACCTGTCTCCATCCATTTTCCCTTCCTGGGTAACATAAAGAAGGGAGGGAAAAAAAAGTTCCATCTAGTCAACTCTGATGGCGATTCTGTATGTGTCAGAGTAGAACTGGGCTCCACAGGACTTCTGCCTTATTTTTCAGAAGTTGATCACCAGGCCTTTCTTCCACAGTGCCTCTGGGAGGACTCACACCATCAAGCTTTTGGTTAGCAGGTGAGTGCATTAACCGTTTGCACCAAGAGATAGATAGAGAGATAGACAGACAGACAGATAGATAGCTAGATACTTATTTATAGGAGTAAAGCCTAAAAGTAAGCTACATGTCATCTTTAAAAAAAATCAAACCAAACCAAACTCACTGCCACTGAGTTGACTCTGACACATAGTGACCACCACTGGGTTTCCAAGGCTGTAAATCTTTATGGAAGTAGATTGCCCCATCTTTCTTCCATGGAGTGGATGTTGGGTTCAAACCACTGAACTTTTGGTTAGCAGCTAAATGCCCTAACCACTATACCACCAGAGTTCCTTATGGCATCTTTAGGCAAATGGTAAACTATGGCAAGTGCTGTTGTTGGAATACTCTGTACCTGCACCTGACGGGTGCCTTAGGACTGGATGCTGAGTAACTGGGGTGAAGGACAGCTATGCCATCTCTGGACTTTTTCTTCTCCCCAGGCCTGAAATCTCTATTCAATGGCAAGGAGTAACCCAATTGTTTGCCGTCACCAAACCCAAAACCAACAGCAGCCTAATGAGGAAGCCCTAGAAATTAAAAACAACAAAAACCAGGTCTAAGGAAGGGTGTTTCCAGCAGCCGTATCCCCCCAACCCCTACAGGGATTATGATTTATGAGACTCCCCACCAAGGAGCACATCTAGGGGCATCCTGGGGCCTGTGAGACCTGAAGGAACACATGGGCAAACTCATGAGAGTTTCTTTAGATTCTCTGTCTCTCCAACAAATCAATTAAGGAAAAGACAAAGAACCCAACTAAAAATGAGCAAAAGGTGAACAGAAGTTACACAAAAGAGCAATGGCCAATGAGTGCCTGAACATGTGCCCAACACATTCATCATCAGAGAAAGGTAAGCTACCACAACAACCCCACTAAACCAAACCCTCTGCCATTGCGTTGGTTCCGACTCACAGTAACCCCCTTTGGGTTTCTGAGGCATTATCTCTACAGAAATAGATTGCCTAGTCTTCCTTCCATGGCATGGCTAGGGGGCTTGAAGTGCCAACCTTCTGGTTAGCAGTCAAATGCTTCAGGCACTATGCCACCAGAGCTTCTTAACAACCCCACTGGGATGTCGCAAATGCAAAGGACTGACTACACCAAGAGTAAGCAAGAAATTCCCATGTCCTGCTGATGGGAGAACAGACTGGTACCACCATTTTGGAAAACTGCTTGGCTGTATCTGCTAAAGCTAAACATATGCCTGCCCCATGACTCACATCACATTCCTGAGTACTTACTTAACAGAAAAGATTATATTCACCAAAAAGAAAACACATACAAGAATTCTCACAGCAACTGTATTCATAACAGCCAGAAACTAGGAACAACCCCATCAACAGGAAAATTGGTACTTCAGTTGTGGAATATTCAAACGATAGAATTCTACAGAGCAATGAAAATGAGTGAACCACAGGCGGTCCCAGGGCCATAAACTTCCGACTTATGGAAAACCCCTACTTGTTCTCAGCTCTGACTCCAAAAACTCTTTGAGGGATGGGACACCTAGGATCACTTCACTAACCAGAGTAGTCACTGTCATTAAAGTGGTTCCAGGTGGTTTAAGGGCACTCACTGCCCACCTAATCTTCTAAAGGCTCTGTGATGAATTCCTAAAACCAGGCTGGGGCCTCATCTTCCTTTCAAGGCATGGCTAACACGGGGCAGGGCATGAGGCCACTCACAGGGTCCTTGTTCTCCTGATCTGTCCTGGTCTCCCTGATGTCCCCGTTGTAGGCTGAGCTCCGCTGATCCTCGGCTGCACTCCGCTGCTGCCACAGGATGGCCTCCCCCTCGTATTCCTTTCTGTACAGGTTGGTCCTGTCTGATAGGCTGGCTCGACGCACCACCTTCCTGAGGGGACAGAAGGGATGCTGGGTGGCTGCAGCCAGACGCCACAGGCAGAGCAAGCGTGGGAAGCCCTGCTTGCCCTGCCCTGCCCCACGCACAGCTGCCCATGCTGGACATCCTCCCCGTCCCCGCCTCACCCGCGGCTGCCCGCGCTGGATGTCCTGCGGCTCAAGGATGATTTGTGCCTCAGCTGTGACTTCATGATCACGTCATGCTTGTGTTTTAGTTCCAGCAGCAGGACCTTGAACTCCTCCTCCTCACACAGGTCTGAGGGGATAGAGGAGCCAGTGTGAGGAAGGGATAGAGAAGGAGCCTGTGGCCCAAGAGCACACTCTAGATCAGAAGACCTGCCACCCCATCCTTTGAAAGTTCCCAGCACTATCCCAGAATCTTTTAAGGCATACAAAGAGGGAAGGAAACAGTATCAGCCTGACTTATGGGTAACAGGCCAATCCTTATAGGAGTATAGGAATGGGAAACCCAGGTTCCATGCACAGTCACAACTCCTAAGGTTCCCAATTATGACTGAGGGACTCCCACATCTTTGACTGTTTCCAAGAGATAAGAGGTCTATCACCCATGATAAGAGAAGCATCAAGAAAACAAGCCAGTACCTGCTGTGAAGGTGCTGAAAAAAATCCATAACTAATTCCTTCATTCATCTGTCTACGTACTTATTAACCCAGTCTTCCGTCCATAGATCTGTGCTCTACTCATCCATCCATCTACCTATCAACCCATGCATCCAGTCATCCACTTATCCATCCATTTATTCATCTACCTAGGTGGCACAGTGCCTAAAGCATTTGACTACTAACCAGAACGCTGGCAGTTCAAACCCACCAGCCACTGATCGGAAGGAAGACTGGGCAATCTACTTCCGTAGAGATACTGCTTCAGAGTTGGGACCAACTCCATGGCAGTGAGTTGTTTTGTTTTGTTTTGTTTTTTTCCGGGGGTGGGTATATATTAATCTATCCATCCTCCTGTCAATTTACTAATTTACCACACATTAATTTATTCATTCACTCATCTCTCAATCCACCCAATCATATATTCATCCATTTATCCCTTCACCAATCAAAAAACTAATGAAGCGCCAGGTCTTATGCTGGACTTACCTATTGGCATCTCATCCATGGATGTCCTAGCACTGAGACTGGCCCCATGGGATACCAACAGCTCTGCCATCTGCATCTGAAACACAGGAAGAAGACCAGGTTCCCCCTGCCCAGGGCTCAGAAAGTCTAGGAGGTGGAGAAAGTGGCCATGGCCTCTTAGGAAGTAACCCAAAGAATGGTGGGGCAAAGCTGATTCCCAGGTGTGGTGGTTAAATCTGTGTGTCAACTTGGCTGGGCCTGGTTGAGTGGCTGGGCAGCTGGATGTAGTATTCCCCATGATAAAACTGGTAATCAACTTCATGGTGGAATCTACTGGGAGCAGCTGAGTAGCTGTCTTAGGGAATGTGGTCTGCTTCCTATATATAAGCAGAAGCCTTGGGCAATGGTCTCTAGCTTATGGCAAGCTTGGACCCTGCATGTAGCCCTGTTCAGCAGCCTGCCATGCTCTGCCGACCTAGGGACTTAGAATGGTCTTGAATTAATGGCCTGCCACGTGGTTTGGTAACATTGGGACTGTGCCATTTTATTTGTCAACCTTGGGCTTCTTAGCCTCAGCAGCCAGTAGCTGCCTAAGTAAAGAGATGTCTCTAGCTTCAGTGGGCCGGGAGCAAGAGGCAGAGCTGAAGCCCAAGGTCGACGGGCTTTCACACAGGCCCTAGAGCCTGGCACTTTGAACTTGGACTTAAAGCCTCCAAATTATGAGAGAATAAACTCCTGTTTGTTAAAGCCATCCCACTTGTGGTATATTATCGTCAGAGTGGCACTAAGTAACTAGAACACCAGGGAAAGCCCTGCACCCTGGAACCATGGTGGAAACCTGGCAGATAGAATGGCCTCAGGGCTTGGCAGTTCCTCCAGGAATGCTTAGGTCAAGTCAACTGGCAGATAAAGGAGTTGGCTGTGGCTCTAGAGCTCTCAAGTGTCAAAGGACGACTTGGGTAGGCTGCAATTAGAATTTTATATCTGGGAAAGAAATGGAGAAACTACTCAATGCAGAAACACTGGGATTTTCTAGTTTTGCAAGTTTGATTATCATCCTCTTAGAACATAACTTGTCAAGTGTTTTTGCAGACTCTCTAGGCCTTTTCATATCCCATATACTAACTGCAGTCAACCCCTTAAGTGGGACTTGTACTTCTTTTGAACCAATTGGCAACCCAAAGAGCTCAGTGGCAGCAAACTGATCCTGTCATGGCCAGCCCCAAGGCACTACAGGTAGGCACTACCTGTCCCCAGAAGGCAGCTGCGTGCAGGGGCTCCCAGCCATCCCAGTCCTTCACATCCACACGCACTCCATGGTCCAGGAGGAGCTCAGCTGCCCGCAGGTATCCATTGGCTCCAGCTATGTGCAGCTGAAGGAGAGGGAAGAAGTGAGCATTCCCTGGGTGGCAGGTTGGCCCTACATTTGAAGGCAATGTATCACGCCCCCCACCCAAGTCCCAAAACATTCTTGGGGCCAGCAGAGCAGAGCAGAACGAGGTAGTGATACCAGCCACATTCCAGAGGATCATTACGCCTGAAATATGGACCTAGGAGGGAAAGCAGGGAGATGGGTCTCTTCCCCCATGGCTAGTCTCAGAGCCCATATGGTTAAGGAAACAGCATTTACTAAACCCCTACTATGTGCTGAGACTGTAAGACTGGGTCTCAGAGGTCCAATATGGTGGCTTTAAAATATGTCTACAAATTCTTTAACACTCTTCTCTTTAAAAGATGGAGCCTAATTACTATCCCCTTGAATGTGGCCCAGATTGAGGGACGCACTCCTAACAAAAAAGATATTGTGGAAGTAGCAGTGTATGATTTCTGAGGTTACATCTTAAGGGCACTGCTCCTTCTGCCTTATACTCTCTTGGATCACTCAGTCTAGGTAAAGACACCCACCATGCTGTAAGGACACTCAAATAACCTAAGGAAAGGTCCTAACGAGGCAAGAAACTAAGGCCTCCTGCCAACAGCCAGCACTAACTTGCCAGCCATATAAATGAGCTGTCTTGGAAACAGATGCTCTTAGCCCCAGTCAAGCCTTCAGATGACTACATCTGGTCAAAATCATGATGCAACTTCATGAGAGACTCTAAGCCAGAACTATCCACCTAAGCTGCTCCCAATTTTCTGACCCATGGAAACTATGTGGCAATAAAGTGTTACTGAAGTGTTGAAGAGGTGAAGTCTAGTTTGTTATGCAGCAATAGAAAACTGATACATCCAATAAGGAAAAGCCTCACGTTGAGGTCTCAACTCTTCCATCTAGTACCATTCAAGGCTTCCAATAATGCCCATCACCTTGCAGCCCTCAGCTATCCTGCTTATTCAGTGCAGGTAATGAAAGTTTCTACCATGAGTTGGAATTGACTCAACAGCACAAGACAACAACATCTCCCAGAAAATACGTAAAGTTCTTAGCACATGGTGAGTACTCAGTTAAGTGATGCACATTTTTACAGACAGCCCCAAATGATGCCAATGTACACGATGGAAATGGATGAAAGGGCAGAAGGAGGTAAAGCAAAGAGAAACCAACTGCCCAAGCAAGGAAGGAGACAGAGGAGAGAGCCAACAGATCTACTGGCTGAGAAGTGAGGAAACCAGAGAACTCAGTGGGGGGCTGAGGCCTGGGGCAGAGAGCCAGTGGGACAGAGAAGGCATGGCCTCAGGAAGCGACGCTTCAGAACACAGCCTGCCGGTCATATGCTACCTCACCCTGGCCTAAGGTTGCTAGGCTGTAAGGCTCTGGCAAATGGAGGTTTTCCTTTCCTTGTTTCTCTCTCTCTCTCTCTCTTTTTTTACTCACACTAAATTCAGTGTGATTTGGTACAGGCACACATAAAAATTAGTATAATTATCTGATTTATAAATGTATGATGTTTGCCAGTTTTGGAGAATGACACTTGGCCAGCAAGCAAGACTAGTAGGACCTCAGAACTTGAGCTGGGAATGAAGAGTTGACTGGGATATTAATAATAATAATGACCAATGCTAATATCTATTGAAAGTTTATGGACTCTGTGCTAAGCACCCACATGGAGACTCTCATTTAATCCTTACAAAATCCTGAGAAGATATATCATCTCTACTTTCCTGGGAAGACTTGAGACCTGGCATGTGTCCAGCCTGTGTGGGTGGGGCTGCCTGAGGCCAGCCTCTGTTCAGGACATGAAGGCCCTGTGTCTAGAGGGCCCGGTCACAGACCCAGTAGGGTTCCAGCCAGGGGGTGATACTCTGGTACAGCCTGGTCTGGACTTCAGACCACAGTGTTCAGTCTCACCAAGTGGCCCCAATCTTGACTGCTAGGCTGAGTGATATGAGCCAGGACCCAGTTAAGAGAAATGGGCATGAAGCAGAGGGGAGGGTTCGGGAATGAGATGGGGGAACCCTAGTTATCACGCCTGGGTCACTAGGTCAGGTCTGAGGGACAGTGAGGGAAACCTGGTGAGCCCTTCCTGGTGAGACTGACCCTGAACCCTCAGTTCTCATGACCAGCATGAAGACCAAGCCTGGGACGAGGTCTAGCCATCGGGGATGTACTTTCCCTGCCACACTCTCATTTTTAGTTCAAAAGCTGCAGTGCTGACCTGCCTCTATAATGGGCTATACTGTGCTATGAGAACTGATGAGAAGAGGTCAGGGAGGGTTTCCCTGAGTCACTGACATGAGCTGGAAGGATGAGTGGAGCCAACAGAGAAGAAGGCTCCGTTGTTCTAGTACAGCGTGTGGTACAGAGGAAAAAAAGAAAAGCAAACCAGATGCCATCGAGTTGATTCCAACTCATGGCAGTCTCGTGTTTTGGAGCAGTGCTGTGCTCCACAGGGTTTTCAAGGTTGTGACCCTTCGGAAACAGATCACCAGGCCTGTCTCCCAAGGTGCCTCTGGGTGGGTCCAGATCACTAACCTTTTGGTTAGTAGTTAAGAGCTTAACTGCCTCCCAGGAATTCCTTGGGGCACAGAGGAGATGCTCAGTAAATGTCTGTTGACAGGAAAGGAGGGAGGGAGGGAAGGAAAGAAGGAAGGGCTGGCCAATGAACGGATAGACCAACGGATGAATGGATGCGGTGATGGACAGAATGACTGATGGACGGACCAATGGATGGATGGGTGGATGGATGACTGGGGGCGTCTGGACTCTGAAGGCAGGCAATTCGGAGGAGAGGCTGTTGCAGCAATGTCAGAGAGAGGAGAGAGCTGATGTGGCAAGGCAGGTGCGGCAGTGAGAGGAGGCGAGAGCAGACACTGAGGCAGCAGAATGGACAGAGCAAGTGGCATGGGTGAGAGGCTGAATGAAGCCTGGCCCTTGAGAGGGGAGTAGGACTGGAGGAGGGGGAAGTAATGAACTCAGGATTGGAGCCTGGGAAGGAGAAACTTGGAGAAGGCACAGGTAGACAGAGAAGTCAAGCTTCCCACCCAAGGTTCCTGACTCCAGCCCCAGCTAAGGGTGGTCAGATTCTCAAAGAGACTGATCCCTTCTCTGCTAACCCTTCTTGGCCCCAGAGGATCTAGAGAAGGTCCCAGGTCATAAGCATGCCCCCAACTGTGTAGGTTTGCCGGCCCACTTTAGCCCTGGCTGGTCTCGGTTCTGGTACTCCTAGTGCAAACCAGCCTGGCTCATCTCCTCACCAGTGTGGCACCCTGGCCGTCTATCCAGTCCAGGTCCTGGCCAGCTGCAATCATACAGTGGATGTCTCCAATCATCTTCTGCTCAGGTGCAGACCGCATCTCATTGATTTTCTCTTGGGTGATGCCTGCGACGGAGAAAGGGGGTTTACTCAGTATCCCAGGCCTAGGCCTCAAGGTGGGAGGGGAGGGCAGATGAGCAGGGCATGACTCTTACTCCCCAACGTCTGCCAGTCACAGGGGGTGAATGGCATGCCCCTGGACCACTGTGCCCCCAGGCCCACAGAACAAGGGCCATTCTGCTGGGTACCTGGTAAGCAGTGCATTAATATCAGTTACTTTGAGGCATATTGTTCTACCTGGAAATCCCTGCCATCCACCTGCCCACCACCCACTGCTCAAACGGCTGGCTGCATCTCATCCTCTAGGTCCCAATTGGCCTCCCTTGACCATCCTATCTCACCACAGTCTCTCTTAGTTTCCTTCAAACTTTGCATACTTTAATGTTTCCTAGTGACTTAATTTTTTGCCTGACTCCCCACTACAGTGTAAACTTCATGAGGCTTGAGAAACAGTGTGTTCACAGGGAAGAGGTAACTACAGGGAGGAAGTGGGAGGGGAGCTGTTGCATTGTGGAAAATTGCAGTCAATGTCACAAGACGAAGTATATGTGAGCTGCTGTATGGAAAATGAATTTGCTCTGTAAACTTTTCACCCAAATCACAATAGAAATTAAAAAAAAAAAAGAAAAGTATGTTTGCAGCACTGGCCACAATGTTCAACACATTTTTGTTGCACCCATGACTGAATCAATGCATATATTATGTTTGAATGAACAGTTAAGTAAATTAAGGTAGCACCCAGAAAGACACTTCATAGCCCAGAATCTCTGGCTGAGAAGTTTCAGTGTTACTGGCAGCCACGGATGGCATTCAAGGAGAGGTATAAGATGCTCTAAAAGGGGGCTCATTAGATCAGGGTTCTTGGATAGAATTTAGGAGAAGTCTGCAAAATCAAATGGAGATTAAAAAAAAAAAAAAAATCACATGTTCATTTTCACTAAACTTTGAATGAAACTGACCATCCTCTGCCATTAGACATGTATGCAAAACCCCCAGTAGCAGTGCCCGGAGAATTCTGTCACCAACAGAGCCCATGGGTCACATGATCTTATTATTTAATGAACTAATAAAGTTCTATACCATTCATTTAAAAAATTATTTGGTAGTTAATATAATTGGCTTCCTTTATAATCCTACGATTTTATAACTGCATTTAAAAGCATTATTCTGAGAAAGCATCCATAGATTTGACAAATTAACACAAAAATTGGTAAGAACTTCGCAGAGGGAAAAAGAAAGGAAAAGCCCAGGTGCCAGGAATGGGGAGGCCACTTCAGTGGTCACTGCAGAGATCTGGGAAGAAACACCAAGGGCGGGGCTGGCCCAGGGGAGGAGCAGGTGCAGCATCTCTGAGTAGGCCTCCAGACGAGAGTGTGAGGGGCAGGGGGACAGGCAGGCCTTTCCGATTACCACATTTGTTTCCTCTCTGAATCTCATTTGGGCGCTGTGAACAGCCCACATCTTGTTTATCTGGGCCCTGGCAGCCAGCGTGGTGCCTGGCACAGAGCAGATACCGCGAATGTTCTTGATTTTGTATTATTTTTCCCAAGTGAGAATATATCTTTATGGTGAATGTTTACTGAATTGGATTGTTACAGCTGATGAAGAGGAGACAAGGCCAGCTGAGGCCGCCTGCATGTGTGGGTGACAGGGATGAGAACAATACCTCCTTCTGCACAGCACAGGATGGTTTGCCAGGGTCCTTTCGAGTCCTCATGGTAATCATGGAGATAACATTAGTCATGAGGACCTACCCCATTTACTGAGCACTTAGCATGGTACGGGCAGGTACCAGACAGGGAGCAAGCTCATTTGTTCAGCTGCATTCACGGATGTGATGCTCACCGCAGCACTGCACCATGCCCCTTCCGGCACACCAGCCCACCCTTACCCTTGTACGCCATGCAGGTCTCGATGACATCCAGGGTGGGCTCGTCCTCGCACAGGTCATACGGCATGTTCCCGTCAGAGTTGACGGCGAGCAAGTCAGCCCCACTGCAGAGAAGCAGACAGGGTGAGAGCCAGGTAGGTGTGGCTGGGGTTGGTCTGGGCTGTCTCCACTCTCTGGCCTCTTACCCAAGACCTCAAGGTGCACCCTGGCACCCACAACCCCAGCAAGGTGATGTCTGGCTCTGCCAGAATGGGCATAGCAGCCTCAGCATCCTGGTGGGGGGCCAGGTTGGAAGGGTCCAAGATCCCAGGAAAGTGATCCCCGCAGACCTCCCCCAGCTTCCTGTTGAACCAGCAGATAGGCTCTTGAAGCCATCCATATACAAAATCCTCCCTGGTGAACACGATAAAAATAATATTGGAGCAGCCCTCACATAGGTCCTTTACCCACATCCTCTTATCTAATCATCATAACAGTCCTCTAGGGTGGGTTCTGTTAGCTGCATCTCACTCGGGGGGAAACAGAGGCTGAGAGAGTTTAGTCATTTATCCAAGGTTACACAGCTAGATGTGGTAGGTCAAGACTCAAACTGGTTTCTCTTGTGCCAGTCCTTGTCACTTCTCCACGTTCTGTGTTGATCTTTGCCCACACACAGGTACATGCTCGGTTATGCTCCACTTCCTCATCTAAGCCCCTGCCCAAAAGGCAGGCCAGGACAGGGGCAGGCTCCCTGGTAGAACTGGCCCTTTGCACCAGTGGTTCGCAAGCCCGTTCCTAGTATACCCTGCAGCAGAATTTACCTGGGGACCACTGAAACAGAGTGCAGCTTCTTGGGCTCACTTTAGACCTCCTGAAATAGTCCCTAGGGGTGGGACTCAGGAACATACATTTTACACCCATGCCCCAGGTGATTTTGGTATAGGCTAGCCCCAATCCCTTTGTCCTCTGGGCACCATCTGGCTGTGGCCATATGATGCTTAGCCGTGCCCAGGCTGTCATCAGAGGCATGGGCATAGGTCACCAACCAGCCTTTCGGTCACTGTGGCCTCTCTGAGCTCCTGTGTGCCCCTGGGGCAAGCTAACCAACCTCTCTGAGCTGGGCCAGTAGTACTGACATCTCCACCACCCCTGGCAGCCACCCAAAAAGCTCCTGCTGCTCCATCTGGACCCTTGCAAGAACTCACTTTCTCTCGGCCACTCTTTCTGACTCCCTGTGCTCAGACCCTCCCCTCAGCCTCAGGTGACCCCGGCCCACTGGTCTCCTTTGTGGACTCAGGTTCTGACATTGCCTCATTTTTGTCTCCCCAGGCGGCCAGGATTTTTGTATCTCTGTGTGCCTTGTACTCAAGTGCAGGCCTGGTCAGCACAGGGGCCCCCAGTTAGTAGCCAAACTCAATAAACACCCTTGAAATGGAGTGTTGCCTTTTCTATGTGTTTTATAGAATTTAAACAGAGCAGAAAGAATTTCAGGGCAGGAAGAGACCATCAGAGTGGTTCAGAGGGAAAGAGCTTTCTCTCTGGAAAAGGCACAACTGTGGGGTTCACCCAAAGCAGGTCTGGCGCCCCTGAAAAGCATGTGCACAGGATCTGGGGGGCCGGATCCAGGGTATACACTTGCTGGTTATTTATTTATTTAGGTATTGAAAGAAACAAAAATGACAATAACATAAAGAAAGTAGAAGAGACAGTAAAAGAGAATCAAGCAGGAGAAAGAATAAGACAAAGAGTTGAAAAGACAGAGAAGGACAAAGTCAAGGAGAGCCAGAGACCAAGAAAAAGAGTTAAGGAAGGACACCCAGAGGTAGAGAGACAAAGGGGGAATTACAGGCCGAGGCGGAAAGAGGTAGAAACAGAAAGAATGAGATGGAGATGAAGAGAGGATGTAGGGAGAATGAGAAAGAGAGACTGGCCCCAAGAGAGACACAGAAAGGGACACAGAGAGAGACAGACAGATCCAACAGCTGGACAGCAGACAGATGGGCACAGAGAAAGGAGAGAGCCCTGCCCCTTGGGTGGAGGGAAGCTGCTCCTGGGACCTGGGTGGGGAAAGGGGGGCACGTACTACTGAACGAGGATCTTCACCAGGTTGATGTGGCCGCAGGTGGCTGCGGCATGCAGAGGCGTCCACAGCTCGTTGTCCTTGGCATTCACATTTGCACCATGGGAAAGGAGCAGCTTAACGATATCCTCAAAGTTGTCGATGCAGCACTGTGAGGGGGACACAGGCGGAGTGAGCTCAGGGCAGGGTCCTGGGGCCCTGAGGGGTATATGCCATGTTCTCCAGGAGAGGTCACCTAGGCTGCCTAAGTTTGCATCCAGCTCCATTACTTCCATGCTGTGTGACCTTTGGCAAGTCACTTAACCTCTCTGAGTCTGTTTACTCATGAGTAAAAGTGAAGTAAATAATATAGAAGATCAAAATAGAAAGTAAACAATACCCTGCAAGTATTGGTCGGATGGGATGAAATTTTAAACGAGGTGTTAGAATTCTAGAAGCATTTTTTCAAACAAACGTGTGAAGAACTAACATATATAACAATAAATTTAAGAAGGAATGCTCTGGCTGAAGCATAAATGTGTGGTAGTGGTGGTGGAATCCCTTTCCCAGAATCAGCCTTCAAGGTATGGCCTCAGATCATAGCTTGAGACTTTGGATTTAGGAACTTCTGACCTAGGGGTTCTTGGGGAAGCCCCAAATAATCAATGTCCCCCTCTCCCTTCAGAGCCCAGCTCCACAGGAGAGCTCCTGGAGGTTCCACACAGTCCCTATGAGTAGATGGGCGTGTTTGTGTTCCTGCTGCACGGAACACTGACCATGCCTGGGTCAACCAAGGTGAGGGGGTGGGTCAGGAGCCTGTTCTATGCCCAGGAAGAACGCAGGGCTCTGACAGCTGATGGAGCCCCCCAGACTCCAGGGATAGGAAGTGAAAGATCCCAGGAGGCAGAGGGGCCTCCAACTATGAGGAGGGTGAGACAAGGGCAGAAGAGGAAGAAGGGAGCCCCAGCACAGACAGCAGGATGAGGTGCTTCCCTGGGGGTGCCTTTGGGAGAAGCTAGATGGGACAAAGTGGGGCCCTGGGCTCCACTGTCCATCTAGGTACTCAGGAGAGTGACAATCACACTCACTTCTTTAAGAAAATCCCTCCTCTGTTTGCATGTGGAGAACAGATAGTGTGTGTGTGTGTGTGTGTGCACTTCTTTGGAAGGAAGTGATCAAGGCCTATGTTCAAATAACCCAGTGAAGAGATGATGACCTACAGAAGCGATCACAGAGATAGGAGAAGTGACTGGATACACCAGAAGGAGCTGCGGCCACCTGTGTGAGTTTGCGGCCCAAAGCTGGCAACCCATCCCACACTCATACCCACCCCTACCCCCAATACAGCCAGGGCTGGGTGCCAGAAGGGCATGTGGGAAGAGAGCAGCCGTTTGCACAGATGGTGCCAGAGACCCAGGTTCTCTTTTGGCACCAGCCAGTTTGGTCTGAGGCCGTCTCTTTGGCAGTTGTGGGAAGCTGTGTCTAAAACTATGACCCGGTGAGGCCCTGTGAGGCCTGGGAGCTGCTGCCCCAGGTGGTCCAAAAATCCATGCAGTGGCATGGTACAGTCAGTAGAGGGCGCCAAAGGCACCGAAGTAAGGCAGCAGTGACTGGGGCGCCCCTCCACACTCATAGGTGAAGCAGCCAGACCCCAGGGTTAGATGACAGGTGGGCCAGAGAGCCTGACTTTAGAGCCGTAGAACTCATGAGAGAGGGAGGAACCACGGCTGAGCAAAGGGCTGTGGTGGGGGTGGAGTGCAGGGGTGTGCATGCAGAAGGGGCCGGCTGGCCTCCTCCCCTGCATTCTTCAAGGTGGGAAATGGCACCTGGCAGTCGGGGATGACTCCTCCTGCCCCCTCACTTCTCACCTCCCATCTTCACCCAGGGAAGCAGCATGGTTTCCAACTCTTAATATTATGTCTGACATCTCCCACACCTGTCTCCACTGCCCTTGTGGAGACCTGGTCATCTCTTCCTGCAACTGAGCTCCCTGCCTCCCCAGACTCTTCTGAACACCCCGACCAGAGACAGCGTCCTCTTCATAAGCACGCTGCTCTCAGTCTGCAAACCTCTAAAGGCTCCCTGTTGCCAAGAAGGAAATCCACATTCCTTCACCTGGCAGGCAAATTTCTTCATGCGCCCCCATCTCCCCTGTTGTATGGGAGTAGTTACAATACAACGCTACCAACGAAAACAACCACAGCAACTACAATAATAATAACAGGCCATGTGATCAATATTAACAGCTAATCTTTCTAAGGGCTCCTAAGCATTTTGCTGGGCTTTGGCCATACACAGAAGGGTCCTATCACTCCCATTTTATAGATGGGGAAACTGGCTCCAAGAGGTCCGGATGAGCAAGGCCACATACAGTAAGCTCCAGAGATGGATTCAAATCCAAAGCAGGCAGACTCCAAAGGCTGTTCTCAACCTTCCCCAGTTCCGCCTCCCATCAGTCCCCCTGAGACCCTGCACTCCAACTGTGCTACACTGAACACTCCAGACTCCAAACTCCAACCTTGAAATGCTGAGCCCTTTTCTCATGCCCTCTGTCCATGCTGTTCTCTCTGCCTTGAATGCTCTTCTTCACCCTTTTCTACCTGGCAAACTTCTACTCATCCTTCAACACCTAGCTCCAATGCCCCTTCCTCTTGGAAGCTTTTCTTTTCTCAAAAGGAAAGGTCATCAGCTCCCTGTCTGGAGCTCCCACAATGCCGCTGCTTACCTCCATCCGAGGGGTGACTATACTGCATCACCTCTGTTGTCATTTACGAGTCTGTGGCCACACTACAGGCTGAACTCTGAGAGCTGGAACCTTGCCCACCTCAGTTCTGGGGCCCTGTTCTCTGCAGAGGACCTGGCCTGGAGCAAGTGTACAGGAACTATTTGTTGAAGGAACAAGTTGGAGTCCACAGGCCAGAAAGGCAAAGTAGAGAGGATGAGTCCCTGACAGAGCTCCCCAAATGGAGTCAGAGGTGAGTAGTGGATGGAGGAGCAACTTTAGGTCACCAGCCATGAGTTCCACACAGCAACACCCCAAGCTGACAGATTCCCACTTCCCTGACCCTGACAGTGAGCTCCTAGAGACTCAGGAACCCAAGGAGCAACTGGCCCAGGGGAACTGAGCTGACCACCAAAGAAGATGTGGGGTGTGACACGGAGGTAACAGGAACTCCAAGCTGAAGACAGGGCCCCAGTCTAGAGGTCACCATGGCAGGGACAGCAACTCGGTGGAGGTACTTGGCTCAAAGTGCTGTGAGCCACTGTGTCCGCTGAGTGGCTAAAAGCACAGGCTTTCCAGTCAGACCACCTTGTTTCAAATCCCAGCACCACCATTGTCTGACCTCAAGCAAAGAGACTTCAACTGCCTAAAAAGCACCGTGTAATCTGGGAACTACTATTTATGGAAATTCATTATTATTAAATAAAATTAAAAATTCACTTTCTTGGGTGCACTAGCCACATTTCAAGTGCTCGGTAGCCATGTGTCACTAGTGGCTACTGCACTGGCCGGTGCACATACAGAACATCTCCATCATCACAGAAAGGCCTGTTGCACGGCACTGTCCCCGAGCCTCAGTGTCCTTATCTGTAAAATGGAGTTGAGAGTAATTCAGAGAGTTGTTCTGAAAAGCCAATGAAATACAGAAGTGAAAGGCTTTGCAGAGGATACAAGATAAATTTAAAATAATAACAATATTCATACAGTATCAAGTGATGCTCAAAGAGTTTTTACATGTAAAAATTCATTAACATCGCAACCCAATAACATAGGTTGCTGTTATTCCCCTTTTACAAATGAGGATACTGAAGCAGAGAGAAGTTAGTAACTTGCCCAAGGTCACACAGCTAGTGAGTCACAGGCCTCAAGACTGACCCTATACCTCAACTGCCTCACTCTATAGGGAACCAAGGCTGGCAGTCACAGTCTGACCTTGGGAATTGTCATGTGGGGCCCACTCCAGGGCAAGCCAGAGCACATAGGGTGTCATAGGGACCCAAGAGTTCATGGAGTGGGGAGTTGGGGAGCTTCCAAGGGCAGAGTCCAGTGAGGACACTGAGGCAGTACCCTAGCATGGGTGCCTGAGACCTTGTGGGACTGGAGGAGAAGCCAAGAAGAACCACAGGGAACCATCAGACCACATGGCTGAGGGTAAGGAACAGGGCTTCAAACTGGTTCATTCTGGTTTGACTCCTGCTGAGAATCTGCACTGCCTTTCCAGACACTGAATGAGAATCTACACTTTAGTAAGATCCACAGGTGATTCTCATATACCCCCAGGTGATTCTGATGTATATACATGGGAATTTTGTTAAACTGTAGATTCTGATCCAGTATACCTGGGTGGAAAGACAAACTGTCAGCAAGGGGTCAAACTGGAATGAACCAATTAGAAGCGCTGGTAAGGACTTGCCCATAGGGTTTATGGGTTAGTCCAGCAGTGGCCCGCCTCCATCCATGCCTCCCCTGCCCTGTGTGGGGTGGAGAGGTCCCCAACAGCCAGGGTCTGGTGGTCTGGCTGTCCTCCTGCTAGCCTGCACTCCAGTTCTGCTGCTCAGAAACTTCCCCAGCACAGGGAGGCTTCTGTGTGCAAATTCACTAACTCAGCACTCACATGCTGAGCACCTGCTATATGCCAGCAGGGAAAGTCGCTGGGCTACACCACTGAGGGAGAAAGACATGGGCTCTGCACTCAAGGGGCTCGGAGCCTGGACTGGGGCAGATTGGCATCAAACCATCACACGAATGGCTAAAACAAGTGGTTACAAGCAAAGAGCTGCTTAGAGGTAAAGGGGTGTGTGAGAGAGCACAGAGCACTGGCTCTGGGTTGGGACTATGCTGAAGAGGAGACAGCATGTACCCAAGCGCTGTGTAAAGTGTGGTCAAGAGGAACACAGTGTGTGCAAGGAATTGAAAAGCTGGCCGGTCAGAGCGCTGAGAGCCACAAAGCATGCCTGAGATGAGGCTGGTGGGCTCAGCGGGGGCCAAGCCATGGGAGCCTTGCAGGGAGTGGTGAAGATTTTATTCTTTGCCCCCAGCGTAATGGGAAGTCACGTGATGGCTTTGACAAACATGAGCAAATTGTTGGTTTGAGCGTTCCTGTGGCCACCAACTGAAGCAAGAATGGTAGCCGGGCTGGGCTGGATGCTGGGACTAGTTAGATGATATTGCCGGGTCCAGGCAAGAGACACGAACCAAGCAGCCCCTCCCTGGGCAGTGAGGGCTGGACCCATAGTGCTGCCCTAGAAAACACACGTTGTGAGGGCACGTAGTTTGGTACCCATACTTCACGGCCATGTGACCTTGGACAGGTCATATAACCCTCCTGCCAATCAGTTCCTGTCATAGGGGTGGCTGGGCCGCTCTGGTTGGTGTGAATGCACTTTGTACACTGTCAAGCGCCAGACAAACTCGCTTTATGGTTCCAACCCTCTGCTGGGCAGTGAACAAAGGCCCCCTGTCTTCAGCCTGTGTGTGCATATGTATGCACACGTGTGTGTGTGTGTGTACATGGGAGGAGGGGTGTCCGTGGGAGTGTTTGTAACAGACACACACATCTCTGCAGCAGACATGAGCTTTTCAGATGGGGCAGCTTGCCTTCCCTCCCTCCTCCCTGGGGCATCTGAGCAGGACAAGGCTGGGTAAAAGCATGTCCAGGTGGGGACCCCAGCGAGCCTGGCCTTACCTGGTGCAGGGCCGTGAGTCCATCCTCATTGCACAAATCAGGGCTGACCTTATTCTTCAGGAAGTAGCGTACTGCAACAGGGGACAACAGGGGACAGGAGTGAGCTTCCTGTCACATACTGGCTATGCAGGTCGGAGGGGGGGGCACCCAGGTAAGATCCACTCTCCCCCAGCTCTTGACACAAACTGCCTTGTTTACTCTTTGTGTCCATCTCATGTGGTAAGAATTAACACCTCCCCCACTGGTGTAGTGCCTAAGACATTTGACTGCTAAGCAGAAGGCTGGCAGTTCAAATCCACTAGCTACTCCTCGGAAGGAAGATTGGGCAATCTACTTCCGTAGAGATACGGCCTCGGAAACCCAAGGAGAGGTCACTATGAGGTGGAACCAACTCGACAGCAGTGAGTTTTGCTTTGTTTTGTTTTCCCATTTCATAGTTGAGAGAACTGAGGTACAGAACATAGGCTCTGGTCCAGGATTTCCAAGAGGTGGGTGGCATCACCTGCCTTATGGATAATAATAACAACAACCAATAACAATTACTGAGTGCTTCCCGTGTGCCAGGTACTGAGTGAGCTAAGTGATTTATCTTTGCCTTTCGGGGAGCAGAGCCTATTCTAGTTTTTAAAAGCATAACTCCGGAGTCGCATGGCCTGGGTTCAAATTTGAGCACCATTGTTATTGGCTGTGTGACCCTGGTCAACACACTTGCCCTCTCTGTGGCTTTGTTTTCTCATCTGTAAAATGAGAGTGATGCTAATCCCACCCGAAGGGGACCAGTTGAGGAATAACTGAGGTAAGCCATGTCAGGGGCTTAGCACAGTGTCTGGCACATGGTTTGAACACGAATTTCTACTATGGCAGCTGTTCTTGTTGTTCTTTGTAACACTGCAGTCCCCTACACCAGGGAATGACCCACCTGGGAGTATCAAATGCTCCTTCTTTGGCCACCCCAAAGGCTTTTTCCATCCTATCCCTAGGTTTTTGCCTAGTTGTGTGTGTGTTTGTGTATGTGTGTGTGTGTTCGGGGGTGGTGGGTAGAGCCAGGAGCTGGGGAGAGGGAAGCCAAAGTGAGCTCCAACCATGGCCTTGAACCCCTCCTGCTTAGGATGACATCCCCTTCCCACTGTGACCCTCTTGCTCCTCTCCTCACAACGCAGGCCTGTTCTCACTCTGACCCCAAGTGCTACGGAGGAGTACAGAGGAGGAAGGAAAACCCAAGTGCAAAGGGAAGGAAGGGGGCGCTAGTCCCCCAGCCCTGTGTCCCCCTTCTCAGTCTTATCACCTGGGACCCCTGCCCTCAAACTTCACAGAGACTGTCTCTAGCCAGCCTCAACTGCACTTTTCATGGAGTGGGAAACCTACCAGGTAGACCAGGTCCCTACCTTTCCTGTCCAAATGGCTCCAGCCTGCCTGCAGGCCTGCACAGGCCTCTTCTCCATCCACCTTCCAATGGTGGACCATGCAGTTACGGCATACCCTTTGGCCGGAAGAGTGACCAAAGGGTGGTTGTTTGTGGGGCCAGCGGATATAAATTGGAAACACAAGCTGGTTTGTGTGTGAGGCCCTTGTGGTGCAGGTCAAAGCCAGGATGGAGCCCTGAGTTCTACAAATGGACAATCCTCCATGAGCCACCCTCTACCTCACCAAATCTGGCTCCTCCCAAACATGAACCAAAGTGCAATGTTTAATGTCCACTGTGGACCCCTCTCCATACTACAGTGCATTATTCAGTCAGTGAGGTAGGCTAAGGTAGTTTCCTGTGGATTTCCCTCTACTGAGGGGGGAACAAAGTAGGAGTGAGCTGGGAAGGGCAGGGAGAAGCCCACTGGCCTAGTTAGCAACCCCCAAGGGGTGTTGGTAGAAAGAACTCTGGTGGGGATCCATGAGGTCTCAGGAGTAGTGGAGAGTGGGGGTAATCCCTCAGCTCCACCCTCACGAGGCCCAGCTCCCCCCTGGAAGAGAGCTTGAGGCCTCCACCCAGCCTCCCAGCAAGACTGGGCATCTCCAGCAGACTTGGCCCAGGTGTTCTGCTGCCCTGGGGGCTAGGTGTGAAAGGACTTTGTTAGCCAGAGGCTCAGATCCTTTGGTATTGTCCTGCCAATACAGTAGCCACATGTGGCTATTTAAATTTTAATTAATACAAATTAGAACTTCAGTTCCTCAGTTGCTCTGGCCTCAGTTGCTCAGTAGTCCTGTAAGACTACTGTGTTGACCTCCTTCTTTAGTGAGTAACGACTGGGATCTTAAAAGCCTGCAAGCTGCCATCTAGATGCAACAGTGGGTCTCTCCTCATCCAGAGCAATGAAGAAAACCAAAGACTCATGAAAACAATTAGTCCTAGTGACTGGTACACCATGCAATCCGCAGCCTATACGACTATGAGACCAGAAGAACTAGATGGTCTGATAGAGCCTGGTGGAACCCCTGAGATTGCCCTTCAGGTCTGGAATTGAACCCACACCTGTGGCTTCCAGCCAAACAAAAGACAGGCATATGAGCTGAACATTTACCTGAGGTAAATACATTCTTTGGAGAGAACAATCGTGGGAGAAAGAAGGGCTGTTTATTCACAGGGAGACAACTCAGGGGGCAGGAGTGCGTGAAGGGATGGACACAGGGAAGAGGTAACTATAGGGAGGCAGTGGCAGAGAAGCTGTTGCATTGTGGTGAATTGTAGTCAATGTCATGAGACAAAGTATATGTGAACTACTGTATGGAAAGTGAATTTGCTCTGTAAATTTTCACCTAAATCACAAAAAAAAAAAAAAAAAAAGACTACTGTGTTGAAAATGCAGAAATAAAACATTTCCATCTCCACAGAAAGTTCTAGTGGACAGCACTGCACTAGTACATTATAAATGGCAATTAGCCCCATCAAACTGCTTAAAGCCCTTCCATGGCTCCCCATTGCCCTGGAAATAAAGTCCAAGCCCCTTTCTATGCTATTCAAGGTCTTGCATGACGTGATCCTTGCCTGCAGGCCACCTTCTTGCACAATTCCAAGAGTCACCATTCACATTGTGGTCTGTGAGACCCACATCCCCAGGAGCAGTGTGCACTTTACTCAGCAGGACACGATGGGCCTGCCTGCCCACCTCTCCAGCCTCACTTGCTGAACTCTAACACCTTCCACAGTGGTCCTTGTTCAGCTTACAGAGCCACCACACTTCCTCTGGCCTCCCAGATTCTTTCTGTGGTTGTTGCTGAGAACATACACAGCAGAACATTAAACAATTTCTACGCTGTTTATATTCAGTGACACAGATCACATTCTTTAAGTTGTACAACCAGTGTCACCTTCCTTTTCCAATTTTTCCCTCCACGATTAACATAAACTCCCTGCCCCATGAACTTCCTATGTGATCTTTTGAGTTGATGTTGTCAATTTGATCCCATATAGATGGTTCTTAGAAGAGAACAATGCCCTCATTTATAGCATAAATAGACTGTTGAGCATAAGCATAACCCAAAATGCACAAACAGCAGCAAAGAAACTAGATGACTGGGACCTTCTCAAAACTAAATTTTTATGTGCTTCCAAAGACTTCTCCAAAACAGTCAAAAGAGAACCTACAGATTGGGAGAAAAACATTTGGCAACGACATATCTGACAAGGGACTTATCTCTAAAATTTATAGAAAACTCCAACACCTCAACAACAAAAAGACAAACAATCCAATTAAAAAATGGGGAGAACACATGAATAGACACTTCACCAAAGAGGATATTCAGGCAGCTAGCAAATACATGAAGAAATGTTCACGATCTTTAGCCATCAGAGAGATGAAAATCAAAACAATGAGATACCATCTGACCCCAGCATTAATAGCAAAGTTCGACCAGACAGAAAACAACAAATGCTGGCAAGGATGTGGAGAGATTGGGACTCTCACACACTGCTGGTGGGACTGGAAAAAGATACAACCACTGTGGAAAGCAGTATGGCAATTCCTTAAAAAGTTGGAATTAGAAATACCATTTGATCCAGCAATCCCATTACTAGGTATATAGGAGGCTGGCGGTTCAAACCCACCAGCCACTCCTCGGAAGGAAGGTTGGGCAATCCTACTTCCGTAGTGATAACTGCCTCGGAAACCCAAGGAGGGGTCGCTAGGAGTCGGGGCCGACTCTATGGCAAATAACAACAACAACAATCCTAAACAAGTGAGAACCAGGACAAGAACAGATACATGCACACCCATGTTCATCGCAGCACTATTTGTAATAGCCAAAAGATGGAAACACCTAGGTGGCCATCAACAGAAGAATGGATAACCAAACTATGGTACATACACACAATGGAATACTATGCAACCCTAAAAAATAATGTAGAATCTGCAAAACACCACATAATGTTGATGAACTTGGAGGACATTACGCTGAGTGAAATAAGTCCATCACAGAAGGACAAATATCGTATTAGTTCATTATTGTAAAAAGTCAAGGAAAGGTTTATATATGGAAGGAAAGTTTCTTTGTTGGTTACCAGGGGTGGGAGGGGAGGGGAGGGAACACTGCAAATAAATAAAGGAGCACAGCACTCAAGGCAAACATTCTTTACTAAATACACTGAAGTACTGTCTGTGGAAGACTTCAGGGGCTATGTTGGGTTTAAGGGTTAAAGATTATCTCAGGGTAATAGTTTAGGGTTCATCCAGCCTCAAGTCCAGAGAGCCTGGATTCTGTAAGAATTTGAAATTCTGTTCTGCATTTTCCCCCTTTTGATCAGGATTCTTCTATAGAATATTTGACCAAAATGTTCAGTAGCCAGGTACCACCTAGCTCTTCTGGTCTCACGGCCAAGGAGGCAGTTGTTCATGGAAGTAGTTAGGCATACTTCCATTTCCTACTTCTATTCTTGACTTTCTTTTTTCCTCTGTTTTTCCAGATGAACAGAGACCAACTGTTGCACCTTGGATGGCCACTTGTAAGCCGTTAAGACCTCAGGGACTATACAAAGAACTAGTAGGTAGAGCAGAAACACTAAACATATTATAGCCTCTCAGCTTTTGCACAACATTTTCCCACTGCCTGGAAGCCTCAATCATTTATCCATCCACACAACCAA